TTTAAACCCTGTGTGCTTGGTTCCTGTGGGGACAGGGAGATGAAAAGTCCCCAGGTCAAGAGCCCTCCTGGGCCTAGGTGGACAGAGTGTGGCCCGAGGTGACATAGCCCATTAAGGAATGGAGGTCTGACATTCTGATCTGCTGCGAATTGTATACCACTGTTTCCCCCCTTAAGAGTTAATCGAGCTGGACCTGTCAATCGCCTGGCCAAGACACCAATTCTCAGGAAGGCTGCCAAGCTAATGAGATAATGTACTTTTCCTTTCCAGAATCCCCATCCTCTGTGCAACTGTTTGCAGAAGTCCTCTACCTTATCTTTTTTCTTCTTTTCTGTCTCTTTCTTATGTATATGTGCCAAAGCCTAAGCTCATTTTCTTTGCCATTTGAGGCTTTTTAACTTTCTTTGGAGCTACCCTCTTTTTACCATGTAGCTGTTTGCTGCTATGAGGCTACTTGCTGAACGTCATTGCTGAACACACCCACCTAATTGAAATGCATGGCTTTTCCCTTCTTCACATCTTTCTCTTGGTGTCCCCTGAGATTTATAGCCTGCCAGCTGTATTGCTTTCTCCCAAACTCTAATGAAGTTGTTCTCAAGCTCCTGAATTCATTTTTAAATTATTTTATTTTATTTTTTTTAACAATACTAAGAACCCAAAGAAGGAACCTCAGTTTCCCTGGTAGCATATAGCACCCAGAGTGGGTTTCCCCAAAGTTTCTGATAACATTAACAGTGTATGAATTTCAGCGATTTCTTTTCATAAATGTTGAAGTTTGCTAAGGGCAGCATATCTATAGAATCCACATATGTAGATGAAAAGATTAACTTGGGTTCTCTCTAGACTTCTAATTCTACTTACTATCTGGACTGCCAAATCTGTAATTATGACCTTCCAATCTTGAAGAGATTGCTGTCACTTCCAATTCAACATGCCTTTAGTAGAAACATAAAACATGTTTTCGTCTGTATGCTTTGGCCATTTGTGACCTTTTTTTATTTGTCCACCATATGAACTTGCTTTCCTTGTTCGGCAAAACCCTCAACTTGGGAGCCTAGTGGCTAAAGCTGAAATGCCAAATGCTCCTTCATCCAATCCTGAATACCAGCTGGACCCTGATAACTTAGGAAAGTTTCAGATAGCTCTGAGGAAAGTTTCTGAGCAGCTATAGAGATTGAATGGAGAAAGATGAGCTCTTGGGGCAGTCATGAGTATGGTTGCAGAATCTGGCATTCATTATTAGCTGTGCTGAGATGCAAAATGCCTATGCTTCACAGTGTAACCCTGGTGTTCTCTTCCAGTCAGTTCTGCAGCCTATTAAATAGTCTATGTGAATTGCTGGAAGTGAGAAATGTTCAAAATAAATGGCTGGCTATAACATCAAGCAGGCAGTTAGTTCTGTTTTCCCAAGAACCTTCTGGACTTAGCAGATTGACACCTTTTAAAATGACTCCCTATATAGATTGTCTTTTAGTACTTTGCTACAAAGTCTTGATTGCACATTCTTTTTTTTTTTTTTTTGTCTGCTTGCTCCTAAATATTGAACTAGCATTCGTTCTGAGATTTATTTTCGTTGTAGTGAGGGGGAAACTTTGCTCATCATAGTTTTAATTTTTTAAAGTAAACATATAAAGTACTGGGTTTCATTACTGCTCTTTCATGCATACATGTCAATTCGTTCTTATTAATCCCTCTTCCCACCCCCCTTTGCTGGTACTCTCAATAAATCTTATTGAAAGTTACCAGTATTTAGTAAAAGGACCCGGTAATTATGAAAGACTAAATATAATTCATATGTTTTTTAAAAAATTGGGGTCCAGCAAGATGGCTCAGTGGTAAAAACACCTGCTGCCAAGTCTGATGACCTGAGTTTGATCCTTAGAACTCCACCATGTGAGAGGCTGACTTAGCTCACACGATCCATGGAATGCACATACCCTGCCCCGTATATGCTTATGCATACGAAATAATGTAATTAAAAATTTCAATTTCAAAAAATTGTATTACATTTGTGTGTATGTGTGTGGGCGGGTGCTGGTGTGAGTGTGGAGGTGAGAGGGCATCTTGTGGAAATCAGTTCTCTCTATATACCACGTGGGTCCCAGGGAATCAAACTTGGGCTTGGTAGCAAGCACCTTTACCTGCTCAGTCATCTCTCAGTCTTCTGAAAGTTATTCATTTAAGCCTACCCTATTTTTCATATATTATTTACATTCACCTTCCATTGTCTCTGTCCTAATTGTAGTTCAAAGTCCTGAATCTTTGATGTGCTGATCATCTTCATCCTTATCTAATCCATTAAACAGGCACCTGTTGATGTTCTTTTTCACATCTGAGATTAAAAGTGTTGACTTCTACTGGCTGCAAAATGAAAAACAAACTCCCTGAGCCTGGCATCTGACCGGGGCTTGACCTGGATTCTCCTTTTCTTTGTGCTATTTATCCTGAAATTAAAAATGTCAGGATCATTTTCTGACATCTGGTACATCCACAGCCAAACACCTGGACATGGGAACCATTTCAGTGATTTCAGGCTATGGTTACCGATGACAGTACATGATCCTAAGAGCTGGAACAGATGTTCTTTAACACGTACTTCTATACTAGCAAGGTCTGTGTGCTCCATGTCAAGAAGTTCACCCAGAGTGGTTAGTTCAGACTAGAAACACCTGTTGGAAATAGCGCCACATTAAGCAGGAAAGGGTGGAGGGAGCATCACCTGCCAAGGGATAATGGCTGGTTCCATCACGTACTCCAGTCCTGTGAGGCAAGAGGCTTATATCATTTCTCCTCTATATTCTCCCTTGTTCTTCTCCCTTCTCCTTTAATTCTTTGATCTAGACCTGGGTCTAAACTCCAGGTTCTCATAGATTGGTAGAAAGGTACCACTTTGGT